GCTCCCTATTTACGAGAAAGAAAAAGGTTGCCGACTAAAGTGGCAAATATGCCCTAACGTGCATGCAATCAATTCGGCAGGCCGCTCTCTAAACGTGTAGGTAATAGGTAGATTGTCAGCCATATCCATTCTGCCGATAACGAGAAGATGTAAATTACCTAATCGCACAACAATCGTATGTTTATCGTACACGTCAAGAACACAAGGCTCGTTTCATTAACGAAAAATCAAAAATATTTATCTTCAATTATTGGAACGTCTCATTATAACAAGATACGTCATAACGGAAGTTACAATTGGTCCTTAATTGTGGCCTTTATGTAACAGTGAAAACATGTAGAAAAAAAGCAAAAGCCGCATAACAATCTGCTCGAATCAACTCCCGCTACGCTTTTCGATAAACATATCGTGTTTATAATTTTATATCTTAGTAGCATAGGACGTTTTGTGGATAGATATGTGATAAATTACTGGCTTAATTATTGTTTAATACATGTTTATACTGATTCGCAAAGAATAAGAAACCGCGAAATCACACGGGGTATAAAGTTTCCTTTGTTTACTGCTTCGCTTTTTCATAAGAGATTAGAGCCTAATATATTTTGTTTTTATGGTGGCCACTATGGGACGAAGTAACATTTTAGGGCATACGAATATGTTGGAATTTAGAAACGATCCTTGCGTCGACCCACGAAACCCTCTAGACTCCCAACAACTGACCCGCATCAAATTGGAACATATGCATTACATTAGCATGACAGACCTATCCAAAGTATCTAGAATCTCAGCTTAAAATTGCCGTCTTGCAATAATCAAAATGTAGGTCAAAGTTTTCCAAGCTATTTTAATAGAGAAAAAAAGTCTCTAGTAGAATCATTGCGAATGGACTGACAACCTGTTCCATAAGCATAGATGTCTAACCAATTTATTCGAGGTTGCGCCTTCTATCTCCGACTCTGCAAATTTTATGTTATTATTATCATATCCTGATTTCATCATGCTAGAAAGTGGTCATGTGCTAGACGTATCCAAACAAGCCAAGCCTTCGATTATATCCCGTTGCCTTTTTTAACATCTTATTATAATAGATAAATGACACCAAAATACTTTACCGCATCGAGTGAATTCAGTCTCTCAATCATCCCTTAAATGTGTCGTCTTTTATCGACCGCGTTTTGCATCGTGCTCCACTAAGTGGACAGCGGCCACGCTCGGACTTCTTGTTTTTGTGCTTGGACAATGTTAATCTTACGGTAAGGAGCTCGTATTCTTAACGTAAGAGTTTGCCCGCCGATTTCTCCCTTCCTTCTCCTTTTCTTTCTAAAGGCAGCAGTACGTATGCTGTGTAACAACGGAACGCTACAGTTTGAAACAACTGCTTTTTTTTTTTTTTTGTAGAAGTTTCCACTGCGGTGGCACAGAGTACGGACGACATTTTTCCCTGGAGATAGCTGAAAATCAACGAATTTCTCATTCGCAGAGAGACTACTTCTATGGCGAGCATGGACCGAACGAACAGGTTACAATATGACTGCCGTAGTGAGCAATGTAGGCGCTGATTCAGTGACCTCAATACGACTTCGTGCTCCTAGTCGGCCTGTACTTTGCGTGGCAGCTCGGCCCGAAGTGAGAGTTACATCTTTATTCCTACAGCACAGAGTTTAGTCAACCGTCGCTGATCTCATGTTGAAACCCAATGAACGTGCGAAGCTCCTTGCTTTATCACCCTGATGAATTGGACGGCTGTGTCAATAGATAAAGTTGTTGCAATTAAGCCTAAGAGAATTCGGAAGCGAATGTCGAATAACAACTGCGTTCATGAAGGGCACTGTGGCTTGTGGAATGAAGATGTCGATGGGCCTTTCCTGTTTTAAAAATGACGATAGAACGATCTATAATCATCTATAATCAGCTCTATCGCGACACGCTGCAAACCTTTTTGTGGCTTAAAATTAGGACATCGGGTGCAAACAACGTCTTGTACAACGACTTGTAAACGTGTGCGGACAACGATCAGTTTACTTGAACTCATGTTTCCAAGATGGCTAATTTCGATGCCCGGCGGCCCGCCTTAGCAGATAGCCGCTTAAACGCTATGATTTAAATTCTCTTGGTTTTTTTCCCGTAGGGTTACCTGAAGTGTCGAATGTATAAGACAACGCGGGAAACAATTCACGACCTAAGACGTGGCTTTTTTTTCGAGGTGATTAGTGAAACTACGCAGCAAAAAGGATCCAGTAATTCAAGGGGTCCTTGGAAGAACGTTTAGCTGAAATGGTTTTCCGTGTATAATGTAAATTTAACTTGTTGGGCTAAATTAACACAGCAGAATAAACACACGTACATAAACATGCTTTTGTTTCTCCTATCGCGAGTAACGAAACTACCCGGAAACTTCTTGTGTATCCTATATATCTGCATATGGTTAGCGGTTGTTAGAAACGCAAAAACTAAAGTTGTTTGTCGGCTTTACGGATTAACTTTTATACTAAAAACGTGAAACACACATCCGCGAAAATTTTATCGATTGCGGAGTTTTTTTAATTTGAAAAACGCTTAGAGCGGAATGCGTACTATGAAAATACCCATAGCGTGGTATTATCTACCTGCGGTGCTATTGTATACAGCGTAGCCATGCATTCGATGTGAAGCAACTTTTTGGCGGTGTCAAGACACCTTCGTTTGCTAACGCTGATTGCAGATGCATTGTCGACCCTGCTACTGCCCGGTAGTGATACCACAGGCGTCGCTTATAGCAGAAGTAACCTAATGATAGGGCTTGGTCTGACTGGAGAAAAGTCTCTGAGAAGTCTGGAGAAAGGTCTGACTGGATACGTTCATATATTTACTTCAACCAGAACCACTCCTAGAATATAATCGTTTGCTTGACTAGTCTACTCCATACGTTTACTGGCTTTCTTAGTTTTTAGTCAACAACAGCAGCAGTGATACTATAGTGACGAGATGGCAGTTCACTGGAAAAGGTTCTGGGCTCTTTCTATATCATCCTCTATGAAGAGGGGCGTTTCTGCAGACGATCTGTGCTGGCCTGCACATACGTTCGATAGAAAGCTCTATTAGAAATGTTCGTGTTATATTGACAACGTTAACAAGCACAGTTGCCAAATATATATATGTACACAGTTTGGATGATTGTAACTTTAGTTTTTATTTTCATATAATTAATATTTAAATCTACATAAACTTTTCTCTTGTAGCAGATGCTCAAGATCATGACCTTTTTATTCAACACACCGCTGATGACGATGGGCTATCCATTTAACAACTAAATTAGGGCCTTTCATTTTTTCACTAATTTTTGATTTTTTAGCGTAGACTTTATCTTTAAAGTATTCCCGCAAGAAAATTATCAGTGGCACCGGATCTGAGGACTCTATAGGACCGATTTCGACTTTTACATATCTAGGATGCTCCATCCAATGAAATAATTTGTTATTATTGATTCTATCTATTAACTGACGAAGTTTCAAGAGGCTTAGGATCCATCATGTGATTTTTGAAGTATTTCTATGCTTCGCATATTTCTCAAGGTGCGAATGATCATAATGAGCGTATTACAGTATTAGTTATTACTAGCTATATGGATTCTTGTTGTCCTATTCGTTTGAGCTTATACCGACTATTGAATGAGGTCAGCAGTGATTATTGAAGGACATTTACCTATTACTCACTCTACTTCGATGTTTATTTTATACATTTTGGCTCCTACATATATCGCTTACTTTCAACTAATAACTCATGTGACCGTCGATGGCTTATATTTCTATATGCGGAACTGCTAGAGAGATATAAGGAAGGGTTCTCGAAGAGGGGTATGGCCAATGGATATGCTGTAACGAATTAGACTAAAGTTGTTAATGTAAACAATAGATCTGCACGGATACGCAGTTCTTCTATTGGTGTAACTACATTCTTTGTTAGATAAGTTAAAACTTTTTAAGCAAATCTGACGCATCTCTACAATTAACAAATTGCATCTGGGCCCGTTAGAATAATGTAAACAACATAAAACAAAGCAAATATTGTCACGTATACTGGAGTATAGCCGTTTCTATTGAACTGGTAAAATTCGACCCAAACTAACAATTCAATGCGTATCAGACACATCGACTATAATAAATGCTTAAGTAAATATATTATGCTTCCGTTATTGCATAGAAATGTCGCTTCTTTCTAAATGTCTAAGTAAGTACGTAAGCAAGCAAGCAAGCAGATAAAATCGAATATCAATTGAATGTTACGAATACTATGCTAAAGTGTTTGCCATTTTCTCATCAAGGGCCTGGAATAATGGCGGATGAAATACTCGTCTCATAATGTATAGAGTCGTATTGGCCGTAGTACTATATGTAGAAATAGTCAGTAGTGAACGAGTAAACGTGTATTCACTGGTAATTCAGTCACGACAGCGTTGTCATGAATCACGCTCGTTCAAGGGGGAGTCTATTTGTGTGTTTTCTATTCCTTTCAATTCTTCAAACTCTTCAGCTCATTGGTTGTTGATCTAATCTTACCTCTGTATCCTTTGTGAAGGCGAACAAAGTCACGAAAAGCACAAGGTATACTTTGGCTCTTCTTTCTCTAGGATGACGATTTCATGCAGCTTCGATCTTTCGAGTGAATGGATTTTTTCCATACAACTGTTTCGGGTTGAAGCTCAAAAAGTCTTGCGGAATTTTCGCGTTTGGTCCTAATGACGAGTTCCTACTTGGCAGTCCGAACTAGCTGTAATAGTATTAACTCGATGTGCTTGACTTGGCATTACTCGGAAAGGCTGAACTGAAGTTTAAAGATAAACGAACGGCTGGCTCGTTCGCCAGAGGCTAATTTGCCCTTTATTGCATATCATCACAGTAACTACATCTGAACGAGGAGACGCGATTTTTGTAAAATACTGAAGTATATATGTGTATAATTTAAAATTCGTGTCAGAAATCCCAAACGCATAATGCCATGTTTTGGCTGGATTTCTTTTGCAGATACTTCAGAACTTGGGCCGCGCAGATAAAACAAAAGATGAGGTGTTTGAAGTTTACCTTCAGAACTTCTCACGGCAACAGTTGGCTGTAACTAAACTGCAGAAAGAATTCAAGAACTATCTTCTCTGCATTAAAAGTAAGTAGGATTTATTGATAATAACTGATCCGTTTACCGATTCCTCAGATCATCACCGCCATCTCTGATTCTACTCAGACAAATTGAACCAGGCCTCGTTTCATTTCAGATGTTGCTCAGAAGTTAACCCGATCCGTATGCTTTTTTATGTACTTAGCAATTTAGCTACTATACGTATTACATTCATTTCTGTTCTTGCGTTTAACTGAAATTATCTTAGTAAGCGAATGTAACGATGTAGGGCCTATGTTTTTGTGGTCCTCCTTCTAAGTATTTCCTTAAAAAAATTAAAGTGTTTTTCCAGTTGGTTGAATACTAATTGTTACGCTGCCACAATCGGAATTACGTTGGCTGTTGTAAACAACGAAAGTTAGGGGTGTCAATAACAGATTGCGCAGGTTAACGAAGCAATATTTAATTAATATCTAGGTTGTAATAAAGGTATACTGAATGTCTTTTTTGTCAGGCAGATTTTCTTTAATTTCACAGTTTATTCTTATGCGGTGTGCATATTTGTTACTTAGTCTTCGTTTGGGGTTTTTCTCAGTACCCTTCGCAGTTTGTACAGAGTAATTATTAGATCGCGATGCGAAGTAACAGGTAGGCTAGTAGTGGCTAGCGTTCCTATAACAAGATACGACATATTCTTTAGTAAACTATGGCGAATGCTTTCGTTCTCTGAGACTATAATATAGGTTCAGTCTGTATTATGTTGTCGACTGCCAAAGAAAGATAAAGTGCTATGTTGTTGATTTTATGGTCTTAATTTGGTGGTCGGTCTTTAGGCATGCAGATGGCATCGAAAAGTCTTATGGACACCCTGAGCGAAATCTACGAACAGGAGTGGGTGGGTCACGAACATATTCCTATCAAAGCACAGGTAAGTCGGACCTCAGGTCGGCCATATCCTAAATAGGTTTAAGTGTTTCCATAAACTGACAGAGGGGTCATTTGTAAACAATTAAGCGATTAAAAAATAATTCAAGTCAAGTTACATTTTTTTACACAAAACAGCCGGCTTTTTTTTCCTGGAACTCTCTTTCTTCTCTCTGTCATATGATGGCGATACTATAACAAATTTACTCGTAAGAAATGATGGTTTCTCAGGGAGCCTAAAGTAACATCGTTTGTCTTGGTGTACGAAGCATCAGATCTAACTATTAAGCAATTAGATTATCTATAACCTAGTGATGAGATACTAAATAGCCATATTTTGAGACACAGATAGCTATGTACAACAAAGATTGTGTACTTCATCTGCTCTTTCAATATGCCACGATCGTCGTAGCGACTTTAATAGTGTGCAAATCATTCCTTGTAAAAAAAAAAATCTGTAAAAAAAACAAAACTCCCTGACAACTGCTGAAGTCCAAATACGAAAGCACAAAATCACTATTTGTGTTCACGATTTACCGGCCTCCCTACCCGTCCGATCGTTCCGTGTATCTTCAAGTTTGGCTTACTTCTGTTTCGATGTAACGTCCACTTTCTATCGCAGATTTTAACGTACACAGTCACCTGGGAGGCAATTTTCGTCTTTTCGAACACATATCATGCGAAAAATGTTTCGGCGGTCTAGTAGAGGGACCTTTGCCTCTTCGCGCCACCGGTCATAATAGTAGCAGTGCCTTAAACTTTGACGTTAGCGGCCATATCGCCGCATAATGCACTTTTGTTGCCTGCACCCCTAAGAAGAATGGATCTGTTTTATACGTCGAAGAATAGGTTTAGCCACAAAAATATGGAGCTTTATCTTCAACGAAGGTTTGCCTAAAACCAAATTTTAAGCCCACTAGATACACCACGCACGTCTCTCTTAAGAACTTTGGTTTAGCCGCCCGGTACGTAAAGCCAAGAAACTTGCGATCAGCATTGGCGCGCTCTCACGTCAAATCAAATTCATCTTTATTGCGTCAAAAGAGATATATTATTATTACATTTACAGTATGAACTAATTATAAACAATAATAGTACAATGTAAAATTATCGTATAAATAAAATATATTTCGATTTATCTCTGGGGAAGTTGACGAACGACTTTCCAGTTTAAGCCACTTCTAGCTCTGCTATCGTTTCTTCACTGCAAAATGTGTTATCTTGGATGTTGACGAAGCACCATATATTACCGAACCGTTCTAACCTATTAAACATGTTAAGGTCTTAGAATGCAACTTAGGTATAAGCTGAACAGATAGGTTAGTCCTATTTACGTCGAATCTGAAGGCAGCTTTACGAGCGGACTAATTCTGTGCCTGTTCAATAGCATCAATGCGCTTCCTCACCCGAAGTCGCCAAACTTTACCTCAAGAGGCGGAACAACGAGACCTTTATTAAAACTAGTATAAATAATGGGAGTTCTTGATTACAAAGCGCGTAAAAACAAGACTCACGGTATTAATGAGTTAGTCTAGTCAAGAGCTATACATTTATAAGTAGAGGCGATCACATCATTGGTGCAACACCACGCTGACGCGGCATCATCGATCACCAGATGAAGTAACGAGCAATCGACGTCCCCATTAAAGGCATAATATAATTTCAAGGCATGGACACATACTCTGTGTTGAACCCTGTCTAGAAGAATATGTTTTATATTGAGAATAAATATATTAAATAAAACAGGACTACGGGAAGAACCCAGATAGGGTTAAACTCGAAAGGCACGTTTTTCTAGAACCAAAAATGTCGTTAGCTTTAACATAAAAAGTTCAGTTAAGGTATTATAGCTTCCCAACCAGTTGATGGGGCGAGTATTTACTTTTGGTTTAATGAGCTTAACAATTAATCAAGTCATAGCTAATTCGGTCAAAAGCTTTGAAACAATTATAAACGAACCTCACTCGCCGACTTTAAATCAATGCCCAGTTCTGGATTATTGTAACAACCAATTCTGGTGTAGAGAATTGGTTCTTCGCGAACCAGTATTAATCAAAGTAAAAAAAAAAAATTGCCCCTATGCTAAGTGACATATAATGTGCCCGGCTATAACTTTTTATCAAACTGAGCAGGCTATGGCCTCTTGAGCGACCATGCAATAGTTATCCACGGAGGACTTAACGCCCTTCTTGTGACCTGGTGCGACTGATGAATCTTTAAAGAGTTAGTTAGAAATGAGAAACGTTTCACCCTTCGGGTGCCACGAAGAACTCAAGGAAGTCTCTGAATGTTTAGCTAGGTCATCGGTGATTAGAAAATTATAACTTTAGAGATCGCAATGCCATTTATTCTTCGATTTGCGCACCGAAAGAACTCCGTGGAGTTCTTAAAGGACAGCAACTATTCCTCAAGATTTCGAAACCGATAGGAGGATTTGTATAATTTCGACTCGTAACCACTTATATTCTGTCAAATGTTAATGTACTGACACAGCTTCGCGTGTTGAAACCTGTTTGTATTTAGATCTGGTACTAAAAATAGTCAAGAATACGGTATTGATGTGAGTTTTCAATTGCGGTTTCGCTGATGTATGTCATCAATGCCATCATCGCATATACCACATATTCAAAAAAATTCAACGAAGCTCATATCGTTCTGCTCCACGAAGCTGGATCCACAGATAATACTTTTCTCTATCATCCAATTAATCTGCATCAGGCGCTAGTCGAAAATCTAATATGGTACAGCACATGCCCTTACATTAAAGAAGACAAATTTTGTCGTAACGAGCATGCGTTTACCCGTTGTTTTTGGTACTTGAAAAACACTTTTTTTTCTATAACAATAATTATCATTGCGAAAAACGCTGTCTATCAACAAGTACGCGATCTTTTCACACTGGACGAAACGAAACATTAACGAGATAATTGTCATTTTTTATGCGGCCTGCATATTATACGACAATGATTTTTATGAGGATAGCCAGAAAATCGTCATAGGGTTTAGAATTAAAGGTCTCGAAAATTTAGCAACATGGCTGTTGTTGAAATAGAAATTGTTGATAATTCTGGACAGAAAGATATCAAACGCCACGTCTAGCCTTTTCGAAATTTGTTGGGCCTTTTGGGTTTTTTTTTTGACTATTCAAGCCTCCACACTTTTGGGACTTCTAGCCTTCTGTAGGCTCAAAATTTCACGAATTACACCTATCAATATCGCATGATTATTATTAAAATTTCTTCAAAAGATCTTCACGGGCTGATGCCGTAATATTTCCGCTCATTGAGAGTATACTGCTATGAATCTGCGACTAATACGGCAACATGTTGCACCTTATGATTCGGCACGCTTGCCCCCGCTCATACATCATAGAGGCAGCGTCCGCAACAAAGCTCCTAATCGCTTCTACCTTAAGTAGTCCTCGTTCCAATTAGACAAGAAAATCCACAAGATCAGCCCTTACATACTTGATATATGACACGAGAGCTGCGCGCACAAACGATACCTTCGTTCTCCAAGTAGAATTCAGGCCGTAGAGTGCAGCAGTCTCCCTACTACTATCAGAGTTAGCAGGAACCCCTCCAGCATAAGGTTGTGAGCTAAACATGATCCCTCAAGCACTAGGAGCAACCTGATTAGCCCTTTGCTCGTATTCGTCGACTCTATTTCTTTGTAGTTTCAACTTGGTCCTTTGTTGTTTCCTATTGTGATGTGTTTTAATATACATATATTTAGAGCAGCTAAGTGGAAATGATATGTTTTTCTGTTTATAAACAAAATACAAGTAGTATCTATCTCGTATTACGTGTACAAAACTAATCTCAATCGTTACTAAACTCTTGTTTGCCTTGTCCTAAAATTCAGTGTCGCTACAGCCGTCCGAAGGCGGCAGTCTTATATTAACACGATCGCACTTAATATATGTGTATGTATGCGCTATATTATTGTAAATGATATCTGAGGTATTTTAGTGATATCTGTTACTTCCTCGTCTACTTTTTTTCTCTTTTAATAATTGCCAGTTCCAGTAATCTCGACCTGTTGCGGGTACGATTTACGATACGCCCGCTACGTATACAACTGACTACAATCTTATAACCAAACGAACTATACATATTCCTGTTACTTGATGCGACTCGTCGATAAATGCGTTCGTCATTACATTTGTAAATTGTTTGCTAGGCCATAGAAAAGTAAATAGTAAATGATGTCAGAATGGGCGCGTATATTCCTTAATTAGTGGTTAGGACCTGTCGCCTATTTACGCGACAACATGCACCTAGCCAGAAATCTCAATTAATAGTAAATGTCAGCTATTAATAATCTTTCAATATATATTACCTGAAACTGCTTTTCTACTATACACAGAAATCTAGAATTGAAAGAACTGAGGGACCCTTCTCTTTTTGTAAACCCACTATCGTCCCACTTTGAGCTATGCCGTCACGTAAGAGCGGTAGCGACGACCACTCCTTAGGTGTTTATTGCATAGCGAATGTTATGCAACATACGCGTGTTGCATTTGTTCATAGTCCTTAAGGTTAAATAATCTTACAAGCATGGACATACACAGCAAACAATTTCTGGCTGCGTTCACGATGACGTTCACTCGTACTAAATGATAATAGCATCTATTTAAACATTAAAATTTAGCGACTCATCATTTCTCCATATTGTTGGTGATTCTTCATTGAATTCCAAGATGCTCAAATCCAGCATTTTCCAGCTCTTATTATTGTTTTTAATTTGTGTCAATAAGGCAAAAGCGTTTACCAAGTACTGGGCGTTCAGCTATCATCAAATGCATGCCCTCTTTTAGAGATAGCTTAATAGTACTAGACTTCAGCCACTAAAATCCTTAAGAGCTTTGGGACTCTCATACACAAACTGGGTTCGTATTAACAGACAGAAGCATACGTTCTATAATAATGAATAAACTACTTTTGGTTACAGTGGAATCTCAGTATTGCACTGATCAGCAGTATGAGCTTGAAGATAGCGCATTTCACTATGGCATAAACATCCAACATCACTAAAGCTACTTTTTGCTTATTGGCTATGAGTGAAGAAAGGCATTTCGTACATTTTATTACATTCCTTGAAATTATTATTATTTAGGCCGTACTAAACAAGTGACACCGAGACGGATAATTACAAAATGCGAATGAAGACCAGAAAATGCATAAAGGTAGACATTCGAAGTCTAATAATAGCTTTCTAGATGTTCCTTTAAAAATAAAGGTCTTGCAAGGGTTGGAATGTACGTTTTCTTCTTCATTGTTATTTGTGTGAATTTATCTGGTTCACAAACCATTTGTTTCCACCGTCTGTTAGAATTTGTACTTCGTTCCATTCATAATAGTTTTTTTTTAGAAAAATTATGTGGCTAGGGTTTGTTTTGGCGTCAGGAGACCCAGCGCGGACGGTTTCGGAAAGCCCCAAACGGATGTCGGAAATAAATGCAAAAAGGCCGGAGGGGACAGAGAGCTGCTACTGCTGCTGTCTATCGGCTCAGTCAGTTCTCGTCGCGTCGTCACTTGCCGCGTCATTCCATATATCTGTCATTATAATATAATAACGCCGATTGACTCCAATTCACGCTGCAGTTGTGCGGATCTCACGCAGTGCCTAGAGAAAAAGCAAAACCTCGCGACAGGGGTAGCAGCTAGATCATAGTTCGGGTCAGAGTTCACTGGGACATACGACCACCATAAACTACGGCTATTACAGCGGCTGGAGACGGCAGCGGTGACGCCGCCATTGCTCAATTGCAAGCGGCAAGGTTTGAGCAACAACGGTGGCGACAAGTGCCGAAAAACTGCCAGTAACAAAACATAAAACAGAACACTTTCTACCCTAGTCGTTTGTACGCATATTGTACCCGATATTGCGCTCATTGAGGACGTTTATCTCCTATTGAAAAAGCGACAAGAGTCACTGTATAAGCTGTCAGTGCGTATGATACTTGTACACTGCCTATGGGTAGATCTGCTGCGAACGGACACATTAATGTAATATTTATTAACACATACTACGATTTATATCAAAATTGAATTAATGACTGAATAATCGTTGGGTCGTCGGATGTTTCTATAGGCATTCTTCAGTGACCGCTAGTTCAACTCAACTCAGCTCTATTTGCACGGACCTTATGTACACTAACGCTAAGTTACAGATTAGAGTATTTGTATAGTTAGCATAACGTTTTTTTAGTATTTTGTATTCGAAATGCGGCGGCTACAGAAAATAGTTAAGAAAGGCAGAAAGGAACACAGGGCAAGAAACTGCTCTCTGAATTTTATACGTAAACATGATCTTCACCAATACGTCCTAACGATACATTAGTGCGGAAAGAATAATCGGAACTACGACAAATGCCTTTGTTCATACATATCTTAATTAACCTTAATGATCGCATATATATACACCAATAAAAATGTTACCACGTGTTTTTCAGGCGCTGGATCTTCTCTGGGATGATTATTTTCGTAAGATGAATGACGTTCTTAACCCTATCAACAACTATATTGCGCAATTTCATGATATGCGAAATAAAATCGGCAAACGAGGTCGTAAGCTCGTGGACTACGACAAATCGAGGCACAACGTTGAAGCGCTCAGAAATTCTGCTAAAAAAAAAGACGACGTTAAGTTGACCAAAGCTCGTGAAGAACTTGAGGTTAGTTGTACGGATTCATTCAGTTGTCACGGATAAAATGCACCTTTGCACCGATTGGCTGTTCCATGATGAGAAAAAGTCTTCTGAACTTAGGAGTAAAAGTGTGAGGTGAATATGTATTAGGCCAATGGTCGGCAAACTTTTCAAACATTCGGGTGAACTTTAAAAGGAAAATATTTTTAGTAACTTTTATGTTCTAACATTCGTGTGTATTGAATAGACAAAGTGCGTTATAACAATTTCTAATGAAACGGGCACATTCAGCATTTTTGCAGCTTCTGTATTTGTTGTTTGGCAGTTTGCTAGTAGAACTGCTGTAATTTTACATTTTGCATTTAAAATATTATATTTGCGCTTGTTTAGTTTCGCGTCTTATCCGCGAATGTCCGCAGCAGTAATCGAGTAATTGTTATGCGCAAAGCTAGATAAAATATGATACGTTAGAAGTTTGGATTGTAAAGTCCTATCGGAGTAAATGTTATATATTGATTAAAGTAAAATACCTTCATTTTCGCTTTACTTGTTACTATTACAGCATGCGAAAAGTCTCTATGAGCAGCTGAATAATGAACTACATGACGACTTGCCCCGTTTATACGAGTCCCGTATTCCGTTCCTCGTAAAGAATCTACAGACTCTTTTCGATGGCGAATGCCGCTTTCATGGCGAGAACGCCGTTGTCTACCAGTTCCTCAACGAGACTATGCACAAGCTAGCCAGAGATTCGGGCCACCCGATTAGCGGGCCGATAGCTCAGGCCCCTCAGTTAAGCCTACTGCCGCCTTCGCCAATGTTACAGCAAAGTAGCAGCCCAGGCCTGGTGACACCCAGTTCGCAAAAGACCAACAACAAGACCATTTCACTTCGAACATCGACTGGCAATCAACAGCAGCAATCGAATTCGTTTGCAGTCGCTTCCAGGTAAAAGAAATTGCACAAACTCATCGAAATGTTGAAATCAATGTATACGCACTCAAGCTTCGTGTACACAAAAAGTTGTACAATGTTTGATGTTTGAGAGACATCTGATGGACGCACCGTACTTCCACAATCTAGCTAAGCGACTCTCACATACGCCTACCTCAAGTACCACATCGTAGAGACTGTATCTCTGCTAATTAGGTGACGTCCATGCTGTGTCGCCGCCGCTCACAGTTCTTAACTTTCGTCACAAAATTAGAATGGTTAAGCCCCTGTTTGGCAAATAAGTTTGTTAAATCTTATTAATATAGATGTGGATCTGTTGTATTTGAATTGCAGTCCGGGCGGCGAGGTTCGTCCTTACGAGGAGATTGACTTCAAAAAAGACGGTCCTGCTAGTGTGTCCTCCACCAACGGTTAGTAGTTGGACGTGTTCTGCGTGTTTAACACTTTCTCCCGAGCACGCGACGAATGACTCACATCATATTTGCACCGACGTTAGGAAATTGTTGAACCTTGACTAACTGGCTTCTCGACAGCCAATATCCATATCCATTCCTAGCTTTGACCACCATCTGACATCCGGAGTTATGCGCTGAAGAGGGGTAATACTGAGCGGGATCCTAAGTAGACAGGGAACACTTGTAAATAATTTACTACTATCAAAAGCTGTATATTAAAGAATTTCGAACCACGTTGATAGTGATAATGACAATCCATCGTGTACATCCAGACTGAATCGTGTCGTATCGTCGTGATGCTGTTGCTGCTGACGTTAGTACCTGGCAGCCACTTAGCGTCCCTATTTATTATTGCGTCCTGTTCCCTCCGAGCCGTGCCTCAGACACTCTCCGTATGGCCATAGCGACAGTGACGATAAAATGGCGGTGATAAGGTGGTAGTATCGATTTTCGTAGTAAGCTTGCTCGTGATAATCGTGCCTCCAATACATACATATATGTGAATGCCTTCATATGTACGGTAAATTCGTTCGATGAACTCACTCGTCATTACTATTAACGACTTGCCAATGATCAGATTCGCACGAACTAGCTTTGTTAGATCGGGCGCTAAGACTTGGAAACTTGGAATGGGAGACTGTGTGTACATCGCTTGCCCTATTGTACAGCAGAGGTAGAAACTGAATGAGTCAGATTGAGGCTGGCAAATAGTATTTTTTGCTTAGAAAGGCAACACCAAAAGTTATCATTTGGAGTCATCCCCACAGATTCGTTGGAACCGCCGCAATTGCCCATAAAGCAGCGAAAGGCTCTAGGCGGCAGTACGACGTCGGCGGTAATTAGTGAATCTACCATTACCGCAGTGGTAGGCCCTCGAGTCACTCTTGAATACGATCGTTTCGATCAGGAATTTAGCAGTCGCATACGCAGCTTGCAAATTCCCGATGACCTTAAGAAGAAAATGCTGGACCTTGCAACTGAGGTACTGCGATTATGTCTAATCTCAACGTGTGCAGCCTCAACACAGACAGAAGGAGAATTTTGGAAATTTCCCCGCGTTGAAGAGTCTAAACCGGAAGAGCAGTGTAAAGATCTCGTAGCATTGGATCTTGCGACGCCCGCAGTAGCGAGAGATTTATATGCATCTGCACAACGAGCACCCCTTCCAATGCCGACCTGCATTGGCTGCAATTTAGATACAAAAATGAAATGCATATGGCTTTCCGAACGCGAACAGGAGGCTTTCAAACATCATCTGTGGATGTGTCTGAAATGCGCAGTCCGAAACCCGATCGAGAGTATCGTTCCTGGCATGATGGACCGCAATGCCAACATGTGTATTTGGTTCAATCAAGTGACGAGGCTGAAAGCGAAATATACGGAATTCAAATTGTTACCAAATGAAGTCGCAGGAGAATTAAAGGATACAGCCCATCACGATGAGAAAAAAGCTTCGGAACAACCGCCGATGCTGGACGAAGGCCGTGGAGAAACTCAGGAAAGCCTGAAAGGTGTGCACTTAAGGGCGATGAAAATGCAAATGAAAACCAACCTAAGCTGCTTTCATGCACCCACTCACCATCTCTAGTTGCTCACTCCCTGTGTGACTCTGGACGCCGTAGCTCAAATAACTCGACGTTCTCGGCAGGGCTACATATATCTATACTATATAGTACATAAGCATTTATCGCACGGTCCTTTCGATATTATTATCAGGCGTTATTACATATTATGCATAGTAGCAGACGCGTATTTTGCACGGAGGATTACAGATTGGATGATACCACTACAAATTAGCTTCCACCCTGTCCCACTAACGGCGCTTGCCGGTATATATACACGAGCTTGAATGAGCGCCCGCATATACTAATCAGCTAATGCAAGATGTCATATCTCCCGCTATGACAGGCGGGCCGAGCGCGGCTTCCGACGCAGTCAAATCCCCATTGGGAATGAACGGCCAGAAACCTCCTCAGTCTGACCATGGCGTCTACGACATACCCGTAGGCGCTACCACGACGGACTTGCCGACTGAAACCCTCTATAAGGTATGCAGCCTAACAGCTGTCAAATTAAAAAAAAAAAACATGCACAGCATTTTATGCTTCCTATTCGCATCCTATTTGTCATCGACAAATATAAGTGTGTATAGCATATTTTTGTTCGAAAGAGACGATTAGTAGTTATATATATATATATATATATATATATATATATATATTTTATCAAAGCATTTACTGGCCGGATTCTTAGGTACGCGCAACGTACAAGTACACAGCAGAGGATGTAGATGAGTTGAACTTTGAGAGCGGGGAAATTATCCGGGTAATTGAATATGAAGACCCCGAGGAGCAGGTAAGCCCCAAAAATTAGCTAAATCGTTTGGCTGGAGGTTTCCCTTTCTTGTTTCAAATCTGTTGCTAAGCCATCATTATCGCTTCTAAGCCGTACTTGCCCGAAGTACTACTCACTCTCATGAAATCAATGCAAGCGTAATTTGTCATCATTTTTGTTATTTGTTTGTTGTAGGAGGAAGGTTGGCTCATGGGTGTCAAGGAGTCGACAAACGAACGAGGACTTTTTCCAGCGAATTTTACTCGACCAATCTAACAGGTTGTCAATGCGATCGGTCGAAGCCGATGTCAAGCCTAAGTTACGCAATTTTAATAACAATAATAGATAATACAAAGTCCGCGCAATTAAGTACGTCAAGTTGCAGTACATTTGTATACTGCAAAAATTGTGCATTAAGTTCAACGTTAAGCCAGTCACCGAATACCTCAACTAATTAACAAAGGCCGCACTAATGCTAAATCTGTATAGCTAGCTGATCAACGACTACCACACTCTTTCTATTATTGTCTGCGGAGATTAGACCCTGTACACAGTGCACTCGAAGGCCCGATTAACATATACAAATGCAGTTGTAATGAGACTGGTTTTCATCGTACGCCTGGCACTTACCGCAACGTTATTACATATATATTATAGATAGGCTATTGTACGTAGCATCGATCCTCATGGACAGCAAGCTGAAGCTAGAAGAACAAGAAGAAGCCAAGAATTTCTGGAAGTACTATCAGCAACTCTTGACACTTTGTCATATCTGGAGTTACCAGGTTCGGCAAAGCGTCGAAAAGAACACTCAAAATCTGGCAGAAATAGTAGGTCTTCACCCATAGAGGACACTGCTTACTATATATTACTAGTAACAGTAATAAGGAATATAATTAGCGGTGGTATATATGCACGACACGTAACAATTGAACAATACGGAAGTGTGTGCAAGTGTTTGATCGAGCCTAGCATGCAAAGGGCTGTACCTCAGCGCGGTGCCACAAACATATTACGGAATCCGATATACGTGATAAATGCTAGCCCGTGTCGAAGTAATTGGCGCTTGGCGACCAAAAGATGCGATGGGTTGAGCTGCCTTGCATATCGTAAGGTAGAACTTCAATAATAAGCACTTTATTATTATTATTATTATTATTATATTGTGTGAGGGTTACGCATCATATAAATAAAGAAAAGTCGGTGTGTAAATGGGCTTGAGGCAAAAGAACGAGTACGTTGAAAGAAGCAAATAACACGTGCCTACAGCCAAATATAGTAGATGATGACTAATTCAGCCGAATGATTCAAGTACATATCGGACGTAGCTGCTGTTGCTGGATGAACGAATCGAACAAATACGAATTTTATTAATCAATTGCTTCCGCTTTGCAAATCCGTCGAGACATACAATAACAAAATAGAAAAAAAAAAGCACAAAAACATTGCCGAGTAGTGGGTAGTAGGGACACTTCTCTTTGGAAACCAATTATAAAGTACTCCTCAATAAAAATAGCGTCTTTAGAAATGTTCCGTGACCACAATTTGGATACGATCTAGATCAAATATATAACGTTACGCGTACCTGTAAGTGCACACTTTCCCTGCATGACAATCGTCAGCATCATCACTGCGTCACGGTTATTTATTCCCTATAATTTGAGAATCGACTTTTGTTTAATTATTAACTACTGTTGCTTTATTCATTTTAAATAACGGAGTTAGCCCTCGTACACTAAGTAGTTCTATTATGTCAGCTTTGGTCGCAAGATTTAGTTCCAATCAGACCAGTCATTTACTGTTTCTTCAAAAAAAAAACATCAAATAAAATTTGGTAACAGCATATTGCAATTGCTACTGGGCTTACTGGTCCTTGTTCTGCATTGGCCTGGTATTGGACCATATATATATATATATATATGCTTTATACATGCAATATACGTGAAGATGTGCATGTGACAATTCAACATCATATTTTAGTCATTTTTCCGTTTCTATTATCATACTCTAGCATTGATTTTAATCAATAATAATTCTATTATACAATATTTATCATCGAGAAGATTTAAAAAATGGCGGGGCAGCAAAGCAAACTAAAATAGATTATTATTATGAATACAAATTTTGGTCACGTATTCAACCTGATCGTGGTGCTGTGACAAATCGAAGTAACAACGACAGGATGACAAACGACAGACGAGTGAATACATCGAGTGTAGTACAAGCTATATCTTGTGTAGTAGAATTGAGTCGAGGTGGAAAACTTCTTAGGAGATAAAATTGAAGCAATAGAGCGAAGTAGCAGACATGATAGAGCGAAACTACAGAACAGGGCCGTGTCTGACAGCGAGATAAACAAAGACAGGGCCAGCCGAAGTAATCACAGAAGTGCAAGCCGAATAGGTGGCGGCGTATTTATTAACAACATGTAAAAGTAAAGCGTACACCTGCATTTGTACGATTTATTTACAGTAGCAGAAGAGAAGCTGAGAAATTTTTTTTTAATGGATATGACTGTTTTACACAATAAAGTGCCAATAACAGCTGAAAACGGTGAGTTATCTTTGAACGTTCATGAGCTAGTGAGAATTTTGTGTAGAATGAATGATAATAATATTAGGTTATATAATAGCGCTACACGTAATATTATTTTCAGCAATTTTTAGAAGTACATTTAGGAGATAAATATAAATCGTGTTATCACTAGTAACCGACGTCAAAGGTATAATTAGAAAAGTAGTTGCGAGTAATTTAAGTCCTAACAATGTCTGTGGAATCTAATTTTTTAAGTGACCTTCTGCTATCGTTTTAAACCCATGGCCTAATTACCATCTGGCTTAGCATATGAGTGAGAAATAAGCACTGAAGTCGAAAACAGGCGGAAGAACGAAATAACAGCACAGCATTGATAATGTTTCTTTTATATATATATTCTCCGATTATTCTCTTTAATTGATTCTGCCTTCGGTAGAATGTGTGCCTTATCTATTCGTTGTCTTTTAAGGCTTCTCTTTTTCCCGATATGGAGGCCTTCTGCGAGAGCCTAATCTACTGTAACGCAGCTAAACGTTATTAGTCCTTGTTCGATTTTTCCGATCCTTTTTTCCCGTGCCGTGTGCCTTGATGATCAGATCTGATCTAATATGCGTCACCAGTTTCGTCACTAAGTCAATCTTGGTCTCGCTTAGGCATCAAATGGTTCGTATTCAACACGTTAGAAACTAGCGTTTTTAAATATACTTCTATACTTTTTATATATATGTATACAAGCTTCGTAGCTACCCATTACCGTCTTGGATTGCACAAAATCGCCCGTTACTGACTCGTCCTTGTTTACCTCAGCTTTATCCATTTGAGTGATCAAACGCTGCCCTTTAACGTCCTGGCGTTGCCTCTTCTTTTGTATACCCAAAGACGCGATTTTTATATTAAAATAGATAGTTTTAGTGTCAGCTGTCTATCTGTTTCTGTATTTTTTGTTAGGCAAACTTTTCGCTAGACAATCCTCTCATGTTACATTAGCTGGAATTGCCCCAAGATCAATCAACTGATCACTTTGAACAACAAGAAAAACTCAAATTTAAACGCAATTTTAAAACTACGTTTAGGTAGTGATCCTCCTTGCTGTTGGAATCATCTCTTTATTTACGTTATTGGAGAAACTTGCCGTTCCCAGCCCCGAAGCAGTTAGCACTATCCGTAGAAATGCAACTTATGATCAAAATCTATAAGCTAAGGGCGCATAGTCCTATTGGGCCGATGAAGCTAGTCCGTCCTCTTCGCCAAGAGAATCATTATAGATTAGTTTGCCACCACACCAGAGAATTGATGTTCCGCCATGGTGCAGGTGGCTCGAGTAAACTAGAGATTTGGCCTTTTACAACTATGATATAGAAGCTTCACGTTCCTTTGGGGTGATGCTCTAGTGATGAGAAACGCTGAGGGTAGTAGCAGTCTGCATCACTGTACGTATTACTAAGAAGAGAAAATTTTCAATTAGAACTAAAAACTTGCTCGTTGTTTGTGCAATTTGATTAATATGGAAATAATCCTACTTGCCCGCGAGGCCCAGAATATGTAACTGACATTTGTTTACTGTTTGCCTCCTCCTATTCAATTGGAACAGGTGTTCCGTCCCACCGCTCAATATCAGGCTGTCGGCCTTTTTTAACGTTGATCACAATGCACAACTTCATAGTCTCCAGATAGGGGAGAGCTGAAATCAGAAAGTGGTCAGTAACCAATCAGTTATCGTAATTCCTAAAAAAGCACCTTTTTTTTTCCCTTTGAGCTCTTCAAGGAACGTTTTCGTTAGTGGTAAACCGACATAATAAGAAAATTTGCAAACGATTTCTATGTCTCGCGTGTTTTTCTTTTAGGGCTGTCGTGACTCTAGTTCAAGATTCATTCAAGCGGGATGGACACTGTTTTATCTTTATAATAATAGAAAGTCATCAAATGAATTTCTATGTATATGATATGTTGCTTACAATAGCGAAATCAGGATTTAAATCAATGAAAACAATATAATTTTATTATATGATATTAGATGATATATGCGTTAATCAGCCGCATCATAGTCAAATCCCACTGTCAACAACAACATAGTCGATCATATAAGAGCTTTTCGATAGCCTGCCATAATCGAAAGAACAATAATCAATCTATAATAATAGTCGAGACGAACATATCTTGGTCCATGATTGCCGTAGTGGCGTGCGTGTCGCTTAGCGAAAATAACGAACTCAGTCATCAACCAAAGACATTTCGTTCAGATAGACAAACAGATTAGCGATGTCCTGCGCTGAATTCTGCCAGCCGCTGTGTGTTACTAGGCGCGGTACCGAGGCCGACATTGAAGGTGCATACAGCAGAGAATTCCATTTCGACGGGCTTCTGCGGAAGCATCAACGTTCATCTCACCGCGGCAGGTGCCGAATACTCTTCGTTTCTGTCAGACATTTATGGAAAACTACTTATACTACCATCTTTCCGGCCAATACAGCGTTAGGGTATGGTATAATGCATTAGCGGGGTCTACATACCCCTTTAGTTCGAAACTCTAATGTACTTGTTCTTGTTTGTATACAATAGTGGACGAATCTTAAACATTACTACATTGGTATCTTTCCTGAGAAGGCCACACTATACCACGCGTTCAGTCAACCTCAGATGACGCCAACTTCACAATTAGATTCAACGATAGCGTTGAGGTATCTGTCTGTACTCCCGCTAGATGCTCTGGACATGAGAAACCTTGACTCTACGAAACAGTGCAATGGCACCTGGAGGATCGTGCACAATTTGTACGCACATCGCATCGCCAACGTTACCTCGGGCAAATTTAAATAGGAGATTGTACAGCTTCCACACGAGTTACCCTTATCCAAGACGTTAACGTACAACTTACAATACAGCTTTGCTTTGCTACACAAAGCACAAGATCAAGCCACACGAAGCTTCTCTCAAAGAACGTTGCTTGAGACAGTACTACCACAAGAAACGTGGTTTCGCAGCGTCTTGCACTAAGCGGTTCTGCGTTCTTCTTCACGAAATGGTCAAGAGTTTTACGAATGTGTGCCGCCCCAACGGTACGCACACTCGACTACTTGTACACACGTCCGTTAACTACCGTCCGTTACAAATGTTATTGAGCTTGCTTCACCATTTTGGACGCTAATTTGCGGGACACCGACGGGACACTTTGCCGTACATGAATTTTTTACGTAATCCATTGCTAACCAATAACTCTCTTAACATTCTTCACGTATACTGTCTTCTAGTTTTTGCTTTGTGCGAAAAAAGGGCTTTAACACTTAACAAGCTGTCCGGTTCAATGTTCATAAATGTGATAGCGTAGTAAGTTTTTCGTTCTGCCACTGAACTGATTTTGCTGTTACAGATCCGGAAACTTTTATTTGGGATCTAAAATTTCTTTTTTTTCGATTATGAAATCAGCTCGATAGCAAAGCAAAAAAGCAAACCGTCAGCTACGAAATGGTCAAACATTATGTATCGTCGAATGTGAGCGGGGAGCAAGGGAGGGATGAAATCAGGGAGCATATACAAGGTTTTCAATTTATAAAAAATACATTTGCGTTGTGAAAAAAGCTGAAATAGATATTGCATCGGTTGTAAGGTTACTTGTGGCTTAATTTTATCGCTGGATCGCTAATTAGCGAATACGGCGATCCAAGCGATCTTACATTTAATTAACTAGGCGTCATAATTAACAGAGGAGGACAAGACATAAGCTCGCAGCAATTGATAAAGTACTTCTCGTACTCTAAAAGCTCTCCTTCGCCATAAGACTAGATAAGATCTCAATGGTACAATTGAGACTACGTCTTAGACCAACATGTATATTTCTAATACTCTCGAGATATGCCTTATTGGTCGCTTCCGCCATAAATAGACACAGGGATATAATCAATCAAGTGGCTAGAATACCGTAGTGGTAGGTTCGCCCGCAGATTCACATTTAAGAAACACATGTACATTTAATTGATTTGAACGCGCCTTATGACCGCTGCGTATTTCGGTCACTAGACTGATCCTTCAGAAATGCTTTAAATACACTTGGAAAAGGCA